GTGCCTGAAGCCTGTGCTGTAAGATGCAGGTTAGAAACTGGGTCTTCAGCCAAGGAGGAGCGTCTTAGAGCCTTGTAGAAAAGACTCTACTAGGTACTCTCAACTAGTGATACCTCAAGATATGAAGACAGTGGCAGTGAAAAGTGGATGGATCGGAGAGATATTTAAGACTTGGAGATTGATAGGATTTGTGGTCTCTAGCATAGGTATAGTTGTCAAAGTTAAAAGCATCAGTTAATGAATATTAAAAGTTTCACTTTTATTCTTCACTAGAAAGTCATTTCAACCTGTCACAATCAGAAAAATGCTTATGGTGAGGTCCAAGAGAAAAAGTGTTGCATCTAAACAAAACAGCACAGCAATGAGAGCCTTACACAAAATCATATTTAATCCTCTCAACACCATACAAATAGATATTATTGCCTCTATTTTGCAGATGAGGAATCTGGAGCTTAAGGGGTGAGAAACTTGTTCATGGTCATACAGTTAATACATGTAGATTTGGTGTTCTAACCCAGTTGGCCTGACTTTAAACACTAGGTTGGAAGACCAAATGTTAACACCGAAGAGTTTAAAAAACAAAAAGATTTTAGTTTGAAAAGATATGTGAGCATTCCCCAAATTCCTGACCTTAGATCTGAACTCCCTGCTTTCAAGAACCCCCCTCTGACTCTTTTCTAACTGCACTTTTTCCAAAAGGAAAGGAAGCTGTGGTCAAAAGGATGCACCATCTGACACCCACACTCCCTCTTCTAGACCATGGTTTGGCTGCCTCAGCTCTAGAATTCTCTGCCCAGTGGGCCCAGACTGCGTCATTGAACACCAAGAGTCTTTCCCCTGGGTGGTCCCTGTGCTTCTTGTGTGTATATCTCTGTGCCCAAGGATAGGCTGTTCCCTCTGCTATGTTCCTGCGTGAAACTCCAAGGACAATGAGAATTCCAAATCTGAATCTGGCCTTCCACGTCATTATGAAGGTACATGTAGTCAAAGTAGGAAAATAGAGCATATTGGTTAGCTGAATTTATAACTACTGGGCAATACTTGATTCATATTGAATATAAGATAATGGTTTAATATTTCACCAATAATGTTAATTATGTTAATTTTGGTATTAATGTGGTAATATCTCCTGATATTCTTTAATAAATGTTGGAACTTTTAACAGTTTAGTGTTACAATAATAAATATCTGTCTTTAAAGATAAAATTCTAAAATTTTAAACTATACTCAGTTATAAAATGCTCAGAAATTTGTTGACAAAACTAAAAAATTATATTTATTTATATTTTCTTATTAATCTACTTTATTAAGCATGTAAAACTGTACTTTCCTCCTTTAATAATAGCTATTCTTTTTTTTAAAAAAATTGAAGTGTAGTCAGTTTACAATGTGTCAATTGCTAGTGTATAGCATAATGTTTCAGTCATACATGTACATACATATATTCATTTTCATATTCTTTTCCATTATAGGTTACTACAAATATTGAATTTTAAAAATTCTCCTTAATGATAAATTAAGATGCTTTTCTTTTAAAAAAAAAACCCCACATATGCAGTCTCCTCCATTATCATACGTAAAAATATACATACATGAATATCTCACTAGTCTTATTGGGCCTTTTAGTGAACACCAGTTCTTAATTTTAGTTCAAGTTTTCAGTCTTTTTCTTTCATGGTCAGTGCTTTCGATGTCATACTTAAGAAATCCTTTCTTACTCCAAGATTTTATATATATATATGTTTTATATATATATATTTTAATATATATATTTTTTAAGTCTTAAACTTGTATGTCTTTAGTTCATCTGAAATTCATTTTTTGTGTGATACCATACACATGTACAGATCCAATCTCATTTTTTCCCATATGGTAACCATTTGGCCAAGCAATAATGTATTCAGTTGTCACTCCTTTGCTTTTCCCCATTTATGTGCAGAGCCACCTTTGTCATATATCAAATTTCTATCAATACTGGGATTAGAGTATAGATTTTGTTTTTGTTTTTGTTTTTTAAATCTAGTAAGAAACACAGATTAAGACTTTTAAGACTAAATTAATTTCAAGGCTTGTGAAACACTTTTTGGGTAAGTACCTAAGTCTTGAAATAATGTATAAAAATTATGGTGTTTTAAACTGGTATCAGTTGATGTAATGATTCAGTAATAAAACTGATCAAGTTTTTTTTTAAGGATATAATTCATTTAGAGTGTAGAAAGTTTCATAAGACTATGGTAGTCCTGAGAATAATTTCACCGCACAGGTGTGTATGTGCTTAACAAAGTGATTGCTAATGAATTTTCCTGAAACTCCCGAACAGCACATAGTATCATTTTGATTACTTTCCATACATACATTAATTATATCAATTTTTTTATATAGTGGCAAAATTTACATTTTAAAATGTTATATAAAAGGAATGCATAAATCCTGTGTTTTGAAGATAAAGGAGAGTTTGAAACAAAATGGTAAAAGGAATAGAACACAAG